GCCACAGTTTGCTGGCCACTGCTCTAGCTGATGCGTGACTCCCCTTTCCACATGTGGTCTTTCTGCTTCTGCTGGGATGCCGCCAGGCACGGGGAACTCACTACCTCACACCTATGAACACCTACGATAATTCTGATCATCAGAAAGTTCTTTGTTTAAAATTTTTATTTTATTCTTTAAAAGTATTTTTTTATGTAACTTTAATTTCTGAGGGAAAATACCTTTTTTCCTTTCAATTCCCATAACAAAATACAGAGCTATCAGATACCCCTTGAAAAACATGTATAATATACATACATATACATATACTTCTATAGTATTATACATATACATATATTTATATAGTATTATATCATATAGATGATACATTTGCAAAAATGTGAAGACTTTATAGAAAGGGGATCATCTAAAAGGCACTGCACAATAGAGTTAAGATCACTTACATTTTATGGACATATACACACTTTAGTCTGCTTAAGCTGATTAGTGAAGTCATCTAGAAGGTTCTTTATGTGCAACTATAAAAGCTGTCTCCTTATATCCACCCCGCCCCACATTTGCTTCGGGGAAAAAACCCTTAGGGCCCAGGTACCCTCAGCCCAGCAGGTTCCTGGTGGGAACCCTGTGTGTGACACCCCCCAGGAGTGGACTGTCTTTGACTGGAGCTCCCTACAGGAAAAATCTGGTGCCAATCAAAGCCAACCAAAGACAAAACCATGCTCCCTGGGCCACGGAGAGACAGGGCACCGGGGCGTCTTCAACCCTTTTTTTGGCTTCTGGGACTAAGAGTGGGGGTCTGGGTGGGGAGGTGGGGGAGGAAAAAGACCGCTGATGAAGAGCCAGGAGTCTGCTCCGGCTCACGTCCAGGGAGACATGAGGCAAGTCTCTCAACCTCAGTTAGCCTGTCTGTACAATGGGTACGTTCCCAAGGCCCACGGAATCGCAGGATCGCGACAAAGCACCACTTCCATGAGACGGTTGACTGAGGTGCAAACGGGCGGGGGGGAGGAGCTGGAGTTTGAAAGCCAGCCTGTCTGGGTCCACACGGGGAGGACAGTATTTGGTTCTTTTTGCAAATGAACCAGGATCCCTGGGAGGGAGCCTGGGGGAGGGGGGACTCTCACCCTTCACCACGACCTCCACGGTGGCCTCGCTGTCCTCGATGCCATGCATGACCTCACAGCGGTAGATCCCGGAGTCGTTGGAGCGCAGGTTCTGAATTTCCAAGGTGGCGTCGCTGGGAATGGCTGGGTAGTTGGGCAGCGAGACCTTGTCCTGGTAGGCGCCGTTGACCCGCACCTGCCCGTCCGTGGCCACCAGCAGGACCATCTCCTTCTCCTTGGAGATGCGGCTCCATTTGATTCTCGGGGTGAGGGGGGCGGTGGCGGGGGCGGTGGTCACGGGGTGCATGGGGTCGATGAAGTAGCAGGGGATAGTGAGGGAGGTCCCCAGGAGGACCCGCAGAGGGGACGGCTCGGGGATGCTGACACTCAGCGAGTTGTCAGGGTCTGTGGGGGAGACAGGCCGGTTAGTGCCCCGAGAGGACCACCCAGCCTCCCCTGGCAGAACCCAGTGAGCCCGCGTGTCCGTGTTGGGGACACACCTGTGCCATACGGAATTCCCAGAAATCCTTGCAACACCCCTCCCAGAGCAGCATTCCTCAAGACCCCTGGTGTCTGCACCTCAGGACAGGAACTATGGAGCCAGAAAAAGAGTGGCCGAGGAGGGCACGGGGGGACTTCAGGGTGAAGACCACCTCTCTGACCCTGGCCGGTCTGGCTCAGTGGATAGAGCATCGGACCGTGGACCAAAGGGTCCCAGGCTCCATTCCGGTCAAGGGCACGTGCCCGGGTTGTGGGCTTGATCCCCAGTGTGGGGCGTGCAGGAGGCAGCTGATCAATGATTCTCTCTCATCATTGATGTTTCTCTCTCTCTCCCCCTCTCCCTTCCTCTCTGAAACCAATAAAAATATCTTAAAAAAAAAAAAAGGACCACCTCTCTGTTTCTCAAACTAAGGTGCCTTAGGGGATGCCAAGCCACCGGATAAACAGGAACCAACTTCCTGGGGTGACAGCTTGACTCCAAGGCTTGGGGAAAAGTTATCTGGGGGTAGAAACATCGTTATGGGGAAGAAAAAAAAAGCCACAAAACTTCAGAGATGTGCCTCCCAGGATGAGGTCAGCTTTGGGCTTTATCCCGGCTTTGCTGGCCAACAAGTCAATTCTCTTCTGCTGTTGGGGAGGCATCAGAGATCAGACATTTAGGTCTGCAAAGAGGCAGGCAGGGGGGTAGGGGTGAGATATGACCAGACTCCATAAAAAAATCATAGAGCCCTGGACAGTGCGGCTCAGACGGTTGAGCGTCATCTCATATAGTGAGAGGTCGCCGGTTCGATTCCCAGGCAGGGTACAAGCCCGGGTTTCGGGCTCCATCCCCAGTAACGGGAGTGCAGGAGGCAGCGGATTCTCATCTCTCTCTCTCTCTGCCCCAAATCAAGAAAAACATATTTAAAAAAAATCATAGAGAGATTTCATAGGGAAGCTGCTGTGCGTCACCCAATCCTGTTAGAAGTAAAGGTCACCCTGGAACAGGGCAGAAAACAGCTTTCGGAAAAACGGCCCCTTTCATGCCGAATCGGAGCTGCAGGGGAGCTTTCCCCCCGGGACAGGCTGCAGGTTGAACATAAACATGCTTCAGATGCTTGTGGGTGACAGGCACATGCCAGGGCCAGGAGCGGGGCAGCCAGGAATGTCCGGGGTCCAGCCCTAACCTTTGCATGTCCTGGGGAGCCACCCCCAGGCCCCTCCGCACAAAACTCCCTTTGAATGCTCCACAGCACAGCGTGGTTTGAGAGGGGAAAGGCCGGGGGTGGGGGGGGAGGGGGAGAGTGGTGCCAGTGCCGCACTTTTTAAAGCTCTCAACCGCCCCCGGGCAACGGGCGTGTGCCTTTGTGGGCAACCCGCCCCCCATCATGGGTTCCAGCCAGGGGCTGCATGCCCGTGGGTCTCAGGGCAAGAGGACACGTGGAGACCCTCGGTCTAAATATTTAAGAGTTATAAATCAAGCGGACAGGTCGCTCAATAGAACACTACATTCTAGCTTCCTGTGGGGCAGGGACACCTTTCACAATGAAAAGCCGGGTTCCACTGCAGACTTCTCGGATCCCTCAGCGTGTGGCATCGGTATTGGGGCCCCTCCTTTTCCCACTGCTGCTTTGCTCTGTGAGGGGACTGCGTCCTTCCCAGCCTCACACCCAGCTCTGTCTACACCCCATGCATCAGCCACCCCTTAACCTCTCCCTCGAGCCTCGGGGCGGCTCACACCAGGGGCGTGATCCCCGACAGAGAGACCCAAGCGGTCCTGGAAGTGGCGTGGGTCCATGTGGGCAGGGAATTCTGGGCATCCTGGTACCGAGGGCGTGGCCTACGGGGGGCGCGGTATCGATCTGGATGGCCATGTGTCAATGGCCGGACATACTCCTCATCCTTTACGGAGCACTGGGGCTGGGGGAGGGTCATGGGAAGGGGTCGCGGGGAGGAGCTCTAAAGTGCATGGCCCAGGCCCTGGCTGGTTTGGCTCAGTGGATAGA